TATACACCATAAATTGTGTATCGAATCGGAACATGGACTGATCATCTGTGCATGTGATGAGCTGCCTTTGTGAAGCTACATGCCGTCGCATGACGTCCAAAAATTACCCGCGCTTGACATGTGTGTCGACTTTGAGGCCAATGCACTCTGAGAACCTCGTCAGTGAAAGTGTGATCAACCTCAAGGAGACGTTCAGGAGGAAAAGTTGTTTGCAAGGTCAACTTTCAGGCAAGGCCAATTTCAGGCCTTGGTAGGTGCGGCTGATTGAAATTTCCCAACTTGCTCTTTGGGGTCTCAATCTTCATGTGTGAACTTTGTCAAAGCTCAACGGCAGTTGCATTTCAACACAACAGGATTCAGCTTTGCCTGAGTGCACGTGCACATTCTGAGCTCAGCACAGGAGGTGGAGTACATCCCTCTGCATTCAAAAGGCTTTGCAATGTGAAGGAGCTTGTGATCAACCCGCACAAGCTTGTTGCGACTTGCAGTCAGAAGCTGTGTTGATCGAGGAGCACATGTGAAGTGCATGAGCTCTCTCCTTGGTTGTGCGAAAACATGACTTCAGCCTATGTCATGACCTCATGCAGAGGTGCATGAGCTCAGGCAGACTCGAGCTTGGAGTTTTGCAAGCTCAATCCAAATTCGAGTCACCCTTCTGCCCCACTGCATGCAAGGAGCAGCATGACCTTGGCGTTCAGCTAGCTTGAATATAAGCTTCACTCTGCTTGACTTGAGGCAACCTGTGGTATCTTCAATACACACCTGATCACGCTTGATCACTTGTTGTGAGAAGTCTGGCCCGGAGAGATTACTAACCCCAAAGTCACTTGTGCAGCAGCAACAATCAGCAGCCTGAGCTTGAGCCTGATGGTGGGCCAAGTTGATCTTTGGCTCCTAAAGCTCCTCCACCTGCCGTTTCAGCTCGCCCAGACCGTCCAAACTCTCAAGTGCACTGTAGATTCTCTTGCAACAACGACCTTTGCCTCAGCAGACTCAAAGTGAGTACAGAAAAGATTCAGGCAGCTGTGAACGCAGCTGCTTTGAGCATGGCTCTGCTAGACCATGAATAATATCCTGGGCATGTAAATAGGGTGTTTGAATCAAGCAGACTGGCATCAGTCATTTCCTTTGAGGTAGGCAAGACTGCCCAAGGTGCCTGCTGAGCACCTTGTGCCTGATTCACCTCTGTGGCCTTCATGCTATGAAAGGCAACCGAATCTGGTCCAGGTCCAGATCATATCTTCAGCTGCCAGATCTGGTGTACCAATGCCTCCAATGGCTGTGATACCAGCAAACAGCTCAGATGACTGACATTGACTCACGCATGGAGGTACAGGAGGACTACACAGCAGCCAGGCAGCCCCTGATGGATTGCAGTGCCTGAAAAAGCCAACCCAACAGAAAGCATCCCCTTTCTTCTCAATTTCTTTCTGTGCGGAGCTAGAAAGCTGGCCCCCTTGCATTCGGATGTGTCTAATGCCTGCAGGACCAAAGCTTGGAGCTCAAAGAGCTTGTGGTTCAGGCTCATCCACAGGGAAGCCAAGAGCCCGTGATTCAGGCACGTCCAAGGGGAAGCTTGTCCAAGGGAAAGCCAAAGAGCTTGTGATTCAGGCTCATCCATGGGAAAGCCAGGGACCCAAAGAGCTTGTGGATCAGGCTCATCCAAGAGGAAGCCAGGAAGCCAAAGAGCTTGTGGTTCAGGCTTGTCCAAGAGCTCGTGGTTCAGGCTCGTCCAAGGGGAAGTCAGGAAGCCAAAGAGCTTGTGGTTCAGGCTTGTCCCATCAGCAGCCTCTTGTACCATCTGCTGACGGGAAGCAGCAGGGAAGCAGCAGCCTCTTGTACCATCTGCTGACGGGAAGCAGCAGGGAAGCAGCAGCCTCTTGTACCATCTGCTGACGAGAAGCAGTTGCCTCTTGTACCATCTGCTGACAGGAAGCAGCAGCATCTTGTTCCATCTCCTGACGGGAAGCAGCAGCATCTTGTACCATCTGCTGATGGGAAGCAGCAGGGAAGCAGCAGCCTCTTGTACCATCTGCTGACGGGAAGCCAAAGAGCTCGTGGTTCAGGCTTGTCCAAGGGGAAGTCAGGAAGCCAAAGAGCTCCTGGTTCAGGCTTGTCCAAGAAGAAGCCAGGTAGCCAAAGAGCTCCTGGTTCAGGCTTGTCCAAGAGGAAGCCAGGTAGCCAAAGAGCTCGTGGTTCAGGCTTGTCCAAGGGGAGGCCAAAGAGCTCATAGTTCAAGCTCATCCAAGGGGAAGCCAAAGAGCTCATGGTTCAGGCTCGTCCAAGGGGCACCAAGGCTCAGAAATCACAGACTTTGTGGGGCAGGCTCGTCCAAGGGGCACCAAGGCTCAGAAGTCACAGACTTTGTGGGTCATACTCGTTCAAAGCTGCCCGCAGAACCAAAACAGTCCGTCGACGCTCCTCTGCTATACACAGACAAGCGTCGACAAAAGGTATATAAGGAGGCCTTCTTCTGGCCTCCTCCTCACTCAAATTCATGCTTCTTACCACCACCTTCTCCTACGACTACCTTGTCTGAACAGCGCTTGCTTGACAACTGGCCTGATCACCCAGCCGTCTCTCTCCTCTCTCCTCAGCTCTAGCATCAGCTAAGTCCTTGCCCGTCGTAACGTTCCGTCCACTCACTGCTTGTTCCCTGCTCTTAGTTTGACGAGCACAGAACCTTACCTGCGCCGGTGACGACTCCGGTTATCACCGCTGAGCCGCATCGTTACAGTTGGCCTGCAAATTTGGCAGCATGGGGTCTGAGATTGCACGAGCCGCATGTCTTTTGGGCAAGCCTGACGTCATGACTTGATGGGCGCCACTGGTGATTGTGACTGCCTGTTGGTGCTTGGTGCTCCTTTGAGATTGTACAGCAAGTACGTCAAAAGAGTCTGTTGCGCTTTATGTTGTTACCAGCTGCATGCACTTGATCATGGTAGCAGTTCACAAAGCAGACGGGAAGATGGCATCTGTATTTCACAACATCATTGCTTCAAGCCAACAGAGCCAGTTCTTAGCTGGTCATGCGTTGATTTTGTGCTGCTATCGGACTGCACTCATGCTTACGAAGGCACACAGTGTCTCCGGAAGATTCTCGGGCATCCAATGTCAATGAGCATTGCAGGTGCCTGCCTATGGCCACTGTACTGTGACAGCTGACTATAGTCGACAGTCAAAGCAGGTAGTCTACTGGTCTGGGTGGCCTCGCAAAGGCTTTGAAATGTTAACTTTGGCAAGGGCCAACCAAAGATGCACTTGGTAAAGCTTAGAAGTTGCCCTTGGGCAGCTCAGCGGGAGACAGGGCTCTTTCTGCTTTGATGAGGGTCATGGTGATTACCAGGCCGCCACGGATAATGCAAGTCTGCTGATGGCTTTGCGTTGACTATTGCTGATGTGCGATGACCCGGTTCTTTGCTCAGTGGGATGCACAAATTCATCGCGCGCGCACCGGGAAATGCGACCGATGCGCTGGAATCAAAATCAGCGTGTGCTTTCGCGCGGGGCGTGCGGCATGTGCGATGCGCACGAATTCACGATTACAGCGCGTGCTTGACGTGAACCAGCGTTGCAAGGACAAGCTTTCTTCGACCTAGTCGCAGGGGTAACTTACGATCCAACCTCCATCATACTAAGCGAAGCGGAGCCTCTCCACTACATTCTCGGATCCGCGCCTGATTGGTCTTGAGCTTATGCGCACATAGCGGTGGACGAGTCTCGGGTGCATCTGGTCCAACCTCGGACCCTCCCAGCGCTCCTGGATCCACGAACCAAGCACCCTGCCCAGGCAAAGGACGGAGGTCTGCCTCGTGTCGCCATTTGAAGTCCTTTGAGGGCGCCTCGAGAAGTCAGACTAGTCGTATAGCCCATTCGAGGCGGTGAATCATACTTGCCCAAAGGGACACGGTGCACGCTTGGCCCAGCATGGCCACTCACGAGTCGGACGTCTTGTCCATCCTGGATCAATATCCAAAGGTCAGCCAGCAGCAGCGGCAGGAAATGCAAGGCGTACACTGCACTGACAAAATACATTGCCTTCCAATTTCCTCCCGCGCTCCTTAGATCCGACAATTTGATGCGTTTCCCAAGGTGAGACGTTGACCGCCTCGAGAATAGCTGCCGCTCGTCAGGAGCTCTTTCCTAACAAACATACATGCTCTCAATCCTGTCCTCACCTTGGAACAGACAGCGCCAGTGCACCGGTTACGATCATCCAGAGGTGGAAGCGTGACGCTTGGTGTCGCACTGATCCTGCTCATGCTGGTGTGGGGGGAGCTGAAGTCTTACATCTATGGTCAACCTCACTATGCTTTTGATGTGGAGCATCACATTGGCGGAGAGATGCAGATCAACGTAGACATGACTGTTGCCATGAAGTGTCATTGTGAGTACAACAGTATCGAGAGATTACCAGGAAGGAGAAAGGGAAGCTCGGCTGGCTGTGTGCTCTGCTTTCTACTGCATCAACCCCGGCTAATACATCGGCCTATCATGCTTTCATTTGCATCATCCTGCTACCACCAGATTTGACTGTGGATGTTAGGGACGCAGTGGGGGATCGGCTGCACATTTCAGACTCGGAGTTTAAAAAAGACGGCACCACTTTCGAGATCGGCCACACCGGAAAGATGAGGTGAGAGCCGTGCTGCCTGGAAGTCAGCACCGTCGACGATGCCCTAGACAGCGCTGCTCACCGTCGCAAAATGACTCTACTCGTTTCACCGACAGTTCTTTACCCACTGAGGAGCTGTCGTTAGGCCGAACGATCTCAAAGGGCGCGAAGCCTCGCTACAGCAGGCAACACACTTTCAAGCCTACCGCACATGTGGTACCCGACGGACCCGCTTGCAGAATTTACGGCAGCGTCGAGGTGAAGAAGGTCACTGGAAACCTGCACATTACGACGCTCGGACATGGATACTGGAGCTGGGAACATACTGATCACGAGCGTGAGTGCGTTGTTAGAATTTCGTGGTGGCAGTGCTCATTCTCACCCTACCGTTCTTATGTCTAGTCATGAACCTCACTCACGTGGTCCACGAATTCAGCTTCGGGCCATACTTTCCCGCCATTGCGCAACCGCTGGACGGGAGCGTCGAGGTGACCAAGCAGCGTGAGTGGTCTCCTTGATGGGGGGACTTCGCCTGATTCTGATCCTGACAGGCACCGACTTTTGACAACCCGCCTTCACAGACTTTACCGTTTTCCAGTACTTTATTCAGATCGTGCCGACCCGCTACATTGATCGATGGGGCCGAAGCCTCTCGACGAATCAGTACAGCGTGACTGAGCAGACAAGGCAACTGGACCATGGACAGGGCGTACCAGGTCTCTTTTTCAAGTTCGACGTCGAGCCGCTCACCATGATCATACACGAGCGGGCGACGAGCCTGATCACATTCCTGGTCCGTCTAGCAGGTATACTCGGAGGCGTCTGGGTGTGCGCAGGATTCGGACTACGACTGGGCGAGAGGGTGGTCAAAGTCTCGTATGAGGCGTTGGGGGGAAAGAAGGACGAGGATCCATCGGACTACGCTAGAGCGTACGCCAGCTCCTACAGCACCAACCCGTCTGCAGGACACTATGGCGCTCTAAACTCCACGCATTCATCGGGAACCCACCATCGTCCTAATGCGGGCCCGACGCCCTATGGTGGTGGGCAAAGAAGCGCTAGCGGGGGCTGGATCGGAGATGCGGTGGACGGCGCGAAGGGCGCTTGGCAAGGCATGAATCTGTCGATACCAGGTTCGGGTCACAAGCATACAGAAAGCGTCCAGCAGCGCATTTACTCGGGTGGGTAGACAAGGTGGTCGTAAGATCGCGCTCTAAAGTTGGCCGAGGGTGAATGAGGCTGCGCTAGCTGACCGCTTGCTCTCGCTTTCGTCGGTGCTCTTTCGCAGAGGAAGGGCGTGCCCCTTGGTAGGATAACGGCCATTGCTTCCATCGTATCCACCGGCCAGGAAGACCGATCAACCCGTTTCTCGATTGTCCGCACAGTGCTCGACCAGAAATGAATGTCACGAATTTCTCGACGCTTTTTGTGGATCTCGCATGGATCGTCATCAGTCACCGCCCGCTAGGTTGGTCAGTTTTTGCGTGCGTACTAGTTCGACGTAAAGTCTGTTGCATTGCGACGCAGACGGAGTTGCTCAGCGTACAAGGGAATGATGGGAACAATGTGCTGGCATGAGCGATGCCCTCATTACAAAGGCAGAGATCAACAGGTAATAATATGCCGAGTGCAGAGGCGAGAGCGTAGTTTGGACTGCATTATGCGTCAAAAGACGAGCTTAGGCAAGTGTCAGGGCACCGGCGATGACGGCAGCGAACAGGGATGCGACAGTCATGCTCGCGGTCGCGCCAGAGAGGGCTCCGTCCGGACTTGAGCCGCTGCCACCACCGCTGCCACCACCCGCGCCAGTGTTGCCGCCAGAGCTTCCACCGCCGGCGTTGTTGTTGCCCTCCTCTTCGGCATCATCAGCTGCATCGTCGGCTGATGGACGCAGGCATGGGGCAAGTGTAAGTAGACACATAAGCGGACACAAATAAATAGCGCAGCCTACTCACCAGCGGTCTGGTTGGTGTTGGTGTTGAAGAGCACACCGTCGATTACGTGGGCCACACCGTTGGCGAAGAGAAGGTCGGACCTGACAATTCTGGCGCGTGCGCCCTCGGTCTCCACGAAGACGTTGTCGTCCTCTTCGACGAATCTAAGCTCCTGTCCGGAAGCAGATGTGGCTCTGCTGTACTGACGCAAGCCATCCTCCACAGTGTTGTCCCCAGCATCCTCATCAATTTGAGGAGAGTAGATGGTAGTGCCTGCATTAGAGCGGGGTGATCAAGGTGGGTACATCAGCGATCATGTCGGATTGCAAGACGCGCCAAATTTTTTTCTTGCGTCTCACCGTTGATGACGTGGTTCCTCAGCACGGCGAGTTGCGCCTCCTGAGGAGCGGAGGCGATATTCGCCTGAGCAGCCTCGAAAGCGGCATTGTTGGGGACTACGCAGGGCAAGGCACACAGATCAGCTTGTTTCGGCACCTGAGTGCTCGGTCAACGATCTACGCACCAAAAATCGTGATGCCGCGTGTGTTGGAGAGCGCAGTGACCAAGTTGGCGCCGTTGAAAGCTTCGACTGCAGCGGAGGCGCCTTCGAATCCGCCGAGCACCGAGCTAAGGTCTCCTGGAGGAGTCAAAACGCTCTCGATTGGTTGGACTCGAATGCTTCCGACAACGGGACCGTCGGTACCGCTTGCGAACGTGACGTTGGCGGTGTTGCCCCTGACGAAGGAGCGCTCATTGTCGTCATCACCTTGTGAGTCCAAAATCACGACCTGGCTCGCATTGCCTGGAAGCTCAACGCCAGAAGTCAACAAGGTGCGGGCAAGCAAGGGTCCGTCGTCGATTCTATCGTTGGTGTAAGAACCGTTCAGAACGTGGTAGGACAGCAAGTTGACCAAAGCAGCGCCTTGGGGCAGAGTGCCGGCGCTCTCGAGCGCTTGGTTGGTGGGCGCAAGCACAGTCTTGTTGCCGGGGCTCTGCAGCGCCACGACCACTGCAGGGTTCGCAGCTACTGCATCGGCAAGCGATGTCAGGCCATTGCTGCGGAGCGCGGAGAGAACTTGTTCGCTAAATTCTGGGCGAGGGCAGCGCGCAATCCACCAGGTCAGTTTTAATTTCAGCTCGACGTTTCAAAAATCTGACGCTCCCCGAGGCCATTGTGCGCCTCTCGTCTTTGACATTGCAAGGTTTTGACAATGCGACTACTCACCACCACCGACGGCTTGAGCAGCCACGCTGGAAGCTGTTGCCAGGGCAATCGAAAGGGCGGCGAGGAACTTCATCTTGGTGCTTTGAGTATATTGAAGGGGTACACCGATCAAAGTAGGCTTGGAATGGGTGGGATGAGGTCCAATGGGCAGGAAATTGCGCTCACTGCTTGGACTATATACTGTTTTGCTTGCTCCAACAGCGCAACCTGACTAGGGGCTATGTCCGTCACCACAATCACGCAAGTGGCGCTGGTGCACACGCACGCGAGAGGTGTACCGCTTGGCACTCGCAGCGAGTTTGGCTCCTTCATTCTGCAATCCGCCTGGAGGTGATGACGGCGCAAATTCTAGCAACGAGAAAGTAGGATCGATTGGTCTTAGGGGCGCCCACCCCAAGTCATCTGCGCGAGACCGACTCATGTCAGCAGTGCAGAGCGTCAAATGCAGCCAAGCCAAGTTCATGCCGGTCAATCAGCCACGACGACTCCCTCATCCGGTTCTCGAGGCTGTGAAATGCGGTCACGATGCTTTAGATGAGAACTTCGCACGGGCCCTGACGGTAAGGCGGCGCGATGACCTGACCGGAGGCGAGGGTCGTCGCCCTGCTTGCAGCTTGCTCTCGGTGGATGTAGTCACGGGCTATGACATGTGGCTTCGCGCTGCCAGGACTCAGATGAGCGTACAGCCCCGTCTCTCTTCTTCCTTCTCCTGGCCCGGCGCGGGGCGCGGAGCCTTTCATCGAGTCAGGCAATGCCTCCTGGATGCGCAACATGACCCGGTGCCGATGACCAGCACACGCATCGATCTCTGAGCGACAGGTGCAGAGGGCTTCATCCGGGTCGGAGTAGAGCGCCGTTCCTCCACGAAGCAAAGCCAGTGGGCCACGCCGAGCTGCCGTAGCAGTAGAATACTCTCTCTCAAGTGCCCATTGCCAGCAAAAGCTTGAGACCCCCAGTGCGGTCCAAACGCCAGGCACATGCGCTCTCCTTCTCGGAGGGTTCTTTTCAGCGCTTCAAGGCGTGACAGCTTCCTCACAACTTCAGGCCCAGCCACATCGAATAGAAGCGCTGCAACGGTGGTGGAAGCTTGATGCAGCGCAGCTGGGATGCTTGGGCTCGCACCCCCCAAGGAAGGTCCGATCACGAAGCGAATCACAATGTGGAGAAAGGTGCAATCACACTAGCGTCTTTGGCAGCTCTTGCCTTGCTGCTGCCTCGGTTCTTCAACTCCGCATGCGCGTGTGGCGCATGCAGGCAGGCTTACTCAAGCTTGGCTCGCGCCAGAAAAAGGCTTGGCATTGGGCGCGTGCCTTGGGTTGAGATCCTGCACCCCTTGCACCACTCAATCCTCAAGAGCTGGCGCAACGTTCGTCTGGAGGACTGCGAATCTCGCTCGATCGCTTTGTGCATCGAGAAGTGATGGCCGTGTCTCGGGTCAACGCCGTGTTCCTAGCTGCTCGGCCGTAGAGATGAACCCAACCGGAGGGCCCCCTCTCTCCGGTGCACGCAAGTCAAGCAAGCAAGCGAGCGAGCAACCTTCTATCACACTCAAAACTCCCGATCTGCAACCGAGCGCGCGCCAACCGCGAGTCGATGCCGCGAGGTTCCCATGCCCGGCGCGCGGTACACAGCAACATCACCATCACGCCCTGACGGAAAGAAGCTGAAGCGACGTCTTAGCAGCACTCGCAAGAGGATGGATGTGCAAGTAAGTACTTTTCAAGCTCAAGGTCAAGCTCAAGCTCAAGCGCAAGCTCAGCTATGCGGGGCTTGGCCAACAGGTTCTACGCGTGCGTGTTTCAAAAAACCAAATTCTTGGCTTGTGCGCATGCATGGAGCGGAGCGCCCTGCATGGCTGCTGACGACGCGTGTGGGTGCGTTTTGCCGGCGCGCAAGGCTTGGCATGCAAAGCGATGGGTGATACTGGCCCCACCGCCCAAGTCCACACGACAAGTCAGCAGAGGCGACGGCTCACAAGCCCTGCTGCTGTCCGATCCGACCCAGCAGGTCGGGTCGCGCACGGTCCCTTGCCCCGAACCCCCGTGAGCGATATTTTGATGCTAAAGCGTAGCGTCCTGCGCCTGTGTTCAGCAGCTTATCTGATCGTCCGCAGGGATCGTACGGATCGATGGTGATGCCTGACTCGTCACGATGCGCAAGCAAACAAGAGCTTGCAATCGTGTTTCAACTCTCTGGGGATCATGATCGGCACGCGGTGCAAGCGAGTGGGGGAGATGGCAGATTGTATGGCTAGTCAGATTTTCAACAGTGGTTTCAACAGTCCGTAAGAGAAAGGGGGGAAACGGGGATTAGGAAGGGGGCCGATGCGTTGTCGATAGCATCTCATGCGCTGTCGATCCACGCTCTCGAAGGTACCCTAAAGATCTTGAGCACACCGCTTTTGAGGTCGTCCAATCGAATACTGACCTCTTCCGGACCTTTGAGCTTATCCTTAGCCGAGACATTCGTCGTCGTCGTCGTCGCAGAGATTTGAATCACCGCTCTCATCTTGTTCTTCTTGTCGTCGGCACTGCCAGGGTCGACGATGACGGCCAGAGCAGGATCTTGCGTCGTGCCGTACGTAACGTGGTAAGAGGCCAATCCGCGCTTGCCCTTCAGATCCGCTCCCCACAACGCAATCACGTCCCCTGCTCGCGGTGCGTCCGCACCTCGATCAAGCACCGTCGCGCCTGCGAGCGCCAGCAGCGAGATACCAAACGAGGAGCCGGCGGGTGGAAGAGCATCAGGAATGAGCTGGATTAGTGAATTGATAAAGCCCCGTGCGCCTCCGCGTGGAATGGGAGCCGCCTTGGCGTTGGCGGCTGCTGATGCGTGATGAGCTTCAAGAGTTCAATGGGGCCAGAGGAGGCATGATGCATGAGCAATCAATCCAAAATGTACGCAGGCACAAATTCGTCCTACCGCCCTGACTCACCCAAAGCCGCACCAATCGTCGCGCTCCACTGCTGCATTTGCGTCGAGGTGGGAGGCGGAGGGGGAAAGTTGTGAGACTGCTCCACTTGCGTCCTTTCCTCTTGCGCATCCTCATCGAACCATTCCAAGCGTATCATCGTCCGGCTCGCATCCTCGAATCTGACTTCTATCTGAGCCCTCCTCTCGCCTGCCTGCTCCGTCTGCAACATCTGCACGCTCAGAGCCACATCCGGTCTTTGAGTGAGCGTGGGCGGAAGCTGAAGCGGATCCGCGCCTCGTCTCCACCATCTGCCATCGAGGAGCAGGTCCAAATCCCTCGAAGATCCTCTCACCACGCTGCTCGAAAGACGATCATGCTGAGGAGCTTGAGCAGGTCGAGATAAAGAGACGGACTGGCGCGGCTCGTGAGGTGTTGGTGGGAGGGAAGAACGAGGAGCAGGAGGAGGAGGAGAAGAAGAAGAAGAAGAAAGACTAGCACTAGCGGCAGATGCAGAGATGGACGCGCCCACGGACGGCGATCGAGCATGCAGATTTTGCGCCTGCGGCGAAGAGTGCAAAGGCACTCCTGCATGATCGACCTGCGGCACATTTTCGTCTTGCGCATCCCTCTCCTCCGTCTCTTCCTCTGCTTCCGGCGTCGCTTCGGAGGTTGCGCGCGAATGCAGACCCGTAGGGACAGGTGGTCTGATGGACGCTCTCCTGCCAATAGAAGCGCCATCAGGAGCTGGCGATGGTGCGGTCCGACTAGGCGGAGCAGGACTAGGGGCAGTGCGTGAGGGAGGAGCTGGAGAGCGCGGATTGAGTGGGGGAGATGTAGGCATGGGAGGCGGCTTGGAGGCGGGTCGAGGAGGAGGACTAGCCAATCGAGAAGGTTCATCCACGTCTTCCTGCGTCGTCTTGGACGAGGCGGGCGGTGGAGCGAAACCCATGCCTGGTATAGCCACACCACCTCTTGGAATGCCGCTCGAGCGAGGAGCATCGATGTTTTCTGCTCGCTCTGCTTCGCTGACCCCTTCGGGTGGCGCAGATGTTACCTCTGCCTCGCTAGCCTTTCTACGAGGTGGCATGGGAGCGCCCATGATGGGTGGCATTCCGCCCATCCTCTGTCCTCCAAGCGCAGCCATACGTCTAGCAATTGCCGCTCTCCTCTGCGCTTCTTGCTGTTCTTCCGAGAGTTCCTGCTGCTCCTCTTTAGGCTCATCCACAGCTCCCCGCTCTTCGCTGCGCCTCTCGCCAGGCCGAGTCTGCGGTTCGTCATTCCCCTCATCGCCTCCCCGTTCCTCTTCTTCGTCCGACTCTTCTTGCACAATGCCATGTCTAGCCCTGGGCGCAGCGAGGGGCAAAGTCTGAGAAGGTGTCTTGTCAGAAGACAAGCTAGCAACGGTAGCGTCGAGCGACATGCGTCTTTCGTGTCCCTCTAGCTGTTCCAAACTGTCAGCGTCGCTCGGGGCAGCAGGAGGAGGGCTTTTGGGTATAGGAGGCACGATGGACGCCCGTTTGTCTTCCTTTTCTGCGCGCGAGGAGATGGAATCTTGACGCGTGGGAGGAGCGCGGGTAGGTGGAGGTGAGCGCGCCTGCGCTATCGGCTCCTCTATATCCTCGTTGGGCGGCGCAGCGCTTCGAGGTGGCGGAGGTAAGGACGACCGAGGGATTGGCGGACGCGTACTGGGTGGTCGACTGGACGATGATGGAGCAGGCAAGGGTTCGAATCCCGTCTCGGTGGGAACAGCCGCTTTCAGAGCCTCCTGATCATTTTGCGCTTGATGTCTGCTCCCATTTGCTCCTTCACCTCTTGCCTCTTCCACATCCTCTTCCACAACTTCAGCGCGCTTCACTTCCTCTAGCGCCTGGACCGAATCGTCCGTCTCTCTTCGCTCAGCCACGAATCTATCCAGCGCCTCTGCTTGAGCTCTCAGCTCCATCTCGCTCTTCGTCGTACCGATCGTATCTGCCGATCCGCGTCTGCGCTCATCAGTTTCGGAACGAGGTACGCCCAGCAGATCGGCCCCACTCGGTGCCGTGCCGGAAAGCGGCGAGGCGCTGTACCCGTCTGCTCCTTCTGCTGCCTTGTCTGCACCCGACACGCTCGTGTCTAATGCAGCGAGAGCATCCACATTCTCGGTGGCGAGATCTAAAGACGGCGCCGTAGAAGCAGCCGCTTCAGCGTTCGTCTCGGCGTCGACAGGTGACGCACCAGACACGGGCTCGACAGTAGCATCGGCCGAACCAGCCTTGGCCTCCTTGACGGCGGATCTCTTTCGTCTTGGCGGGGCAGCTCTTCTGGGCACGGCCAAAGTCTTTGGAGGAGCAAGGTCTTGATTATCGTCGTCGGGCCTGACTGTTGCATCGTCGGCAGTGATCGCTTCCTCCTTGTGCGAAGCCACCTCCACACCTGCGCTAGGGCTTGCGATCGTGTCATCCACCTGATCAGACCGAGCCTCCTCTTGCGTATCGAGCGTCGCGCTTCTCGAAGGTGACCGAGGTTTGGGGGCAGAAGGCGGCATGGGAGGCCCGCCAAACAAGCCGCCGCCGCCTCCTCCTCCAGCTGCCGGTCCACCTCCCATGCGCCTGCCACCTAGCTTGGCCAACCTCGCAGCGATCGCAGCTCTCCTTTGCGCTTCCTGCTCTTCTTCTGTCTTGCCCTCTTCCGCCAAAGCGTCATCATCAGCGTCGACCTCCGCATCTCCCAGCGTCGCGTCCGTCCGCGCTATTTCTTTTTTCGTTCCATCCTCGTCAATTTGAGACGAAGCAGTCATCGCTTCTCCTTCTCCGACTCCTTCAGAAAGAACAGCGCTCCCAGCGCTCCCCATCGTATCCACGCTCTCCTTTCTCTCCCGCGCTGGTTCGGGCGGTGCGAGACCCATGCCTTGCATAGCAATGTTCCTCCTATCCGCAGCAAGCCGACCCGGTTTGTTGGCAGGTAGAGGCGGAGCTCCTCGATTCGCATTCGAATCATCTTCTCCCGCTCCCGCTCCCGCTCCCGCTCCTCCTCCGCGCTGCAAAGCGGCCATGCGTTCCTTGAGCGTCATCTTGATGCTAGCTTGGGCATCTGCAGCCGAGAATTGCGAGTGCTCAACTGAACCACTCGTCTCTTCCTGACTGGCGGCATTGGTTGGAGTGGGAGAATGGGTGGGAGGAGAGGAAGCAGCGACGCCAGCGGTTGCGGCTGGTGCGGCGACGATACTTTTTGCGACGCCTTCTTTGGACGACGACCCGAGTTGAGCCTGTCCAGGAAGCAAGGGTTTGGGAGCACCGGGAGCAGCTGGAGGTCTCTTCCATCCACCAGGTTTCCCAGCAGGTCTAGGTAGGGGAGGCGCATTGTTCTCTGCTGGCTTGTTGAAGGCCGCGATTCGAGCTGCTAATCCGCCGGGCTTGGGAGCAGGAGGTGGGGGAGACTTGCTAGGTTCGGGCGCCGAGGAACTCTTGAGAGATGGAGAGGTGGTGGGGGCAGTTGCTGCTGCTGCTGCTGCTGCTGCTGCTGCTGATGATGATGATGATGATGCTGCTGCTTGTGCTTTGGACTCTGATGAGGGACTGAGGGGAGAGGCAGCATCTACAGGCTTTGCTGTATCTGACGCAGCTGGACCAGTGGCTGTTGCAGCTTCAGATTGCTCTGCTGTGCTCTTGTCTGGGCGATGGGCGGAAAGGTCGGGCTGAGGGATGATCTGCGCCTCCTTCCCGGTCGCATCGTCATCCGCAGCTGCTGAATGTGGCGTTTGCGGTGCATGTGCTGCCTCTGCCTCATCATCTCCTGTCACTGCTGCTGCTTCTGCTGCTGCTGCTGGCGCTGCTGGCGCTGGCACGACATTCCTAGCTGGGAAAGTACCGCTCTTGCTCCCATCCTCCGATTGACCGACCAACCAGACATCCTCCTCATCATCCTCCTCCTCCTCCTCCTCATCGTCCTTGGGTGCCAAGCCAGTCACTTGAATAATGTCACCCTTGGAGAAGGACAGATCCTGGGTGTGGAAAGAGAAAAAGGCAGGAAGCGCATTGAGCGTCCAAAGAGCCGGTGCGAGGCGAGTGCGCAGAGATGAATGCACCAGGGCACATCCTGCTCGCTTGCTTGCTTGCGCCGCTCCCCCCGCCTGCTGATACTCACATTTGCGTGCGGCGATCGATACTTTTTGATGGCCACATATCGACCGGGCTTGAATGATGCTGGCATGATGCGATGGGATGCGGGGGGTGAGGGGGCAAGGCGAGGCTGCAAGGTGAGTGGAGAGGGACGATGGAGGGTGTGAGCAGCGAGTGGGTGCGAGTCGTGCGTGGTGAGTGGATGGCAGAAAGTGCTGAGTGGAGTGGAGTGGAGTGGAGTGGAGTAGAGCAGAGCGTCGCTTTAAGAGCAATTCACTTGATGGACATCAGACACGAAAAGAGAAAAGAGAGCACGCCGCGGGTGTGGCAGGCAGGCAGGCAGCTCTGCGCTAACTGATGCTTGCGTGTCAGGTGCGGCTGGTGTCCGTGCATGGCGTGGCAGCAAGCAGCACACAGCACACGGCATCAACATCAGCAGCAATTCAAGCAGCTTGCCAGCACGCGGCGTGCGTGCGTGGATGCATGCATGCGCGCATGCTCCTGCCAGGCAACACCCCCGCGCCGCGCACCTTTTGCCCAGCCACACTCGTGACTCACACACGCACACGCACACGCACACGCACACGCACACGCACACGCACACGCACACGCACACGCACACGCACACAGCCTCACAAGCGCGCGCGATCAATGCAGGCTGTAGCCCACCGCGCATGTGACACGTGACACTCTCGATTGGGACTTTTGATTGTCGAGAAGCCATCTTGCATGAGCAGGTAGGTACATCACACTCACACTCAAAGTGCTCTCCACGCCTCACGCACACCATGCACACACTCCCGCTCCCACACCCGCACCCACACCCAAGCCCCTTCACTCTCAGCTACTCCCACGCATGTCTTCCCTCACTCTCGCACGATGAACAGCGTCAAGATGGAAGAGGACAATGCTGGACAAGTTGACAGCGCCAGTATAGCCGGTCCATCCACATCCACATCCACATCCACATCCACATCCACATCCACATCCACATCCACATCCACACTCACACTGCCGCCCATCAAGCAAAGATTCAAGCCTACGCTGCACCTCACCCAGCAGCCCGTCGCTCCACCGGTGGATCAGCGCATCCTGGATGAAGCAGCAGCTCAAGCCGCCGCCTCGGCAGCCGGTTTCGAAGGCTTTCGACGCACGCGACGTTTCAATCAGCGTCGAACGGTCGACTATCACGCTTCTCAAAGATTATCTCGACTGGTGCGATCTTTGCGCACAAATGCTAGAGCGGACAAGTGTGTGATGCCCAGCACGAATCACGTGGTGGATATCTTGCCGCCGGACATGTATGCGCTGGGCAATGGGTGCGCTGAAGAGGATGCGGTGGGCATGGCCGTCACGACGAACCTGGTGCACACCAGCACCAACAAGATTCGATGTCCCGTCAATGTGGTGTGTTGGCAACCAGAAGGCAGAAGATTGCTTACAGGTTCGCAATCTGGCGAATTCACCTTGTGGAATGGCTTGACTTTCAATTTCGAGACCATCTTTCAAGCTCACGATGCGGCCATTCGATCGGTGCAGTATTGCAAATCGGGTCAATTTCTAATCTCTTCGGATCAAGGTGGTGTGATCAAATACTTTCAATCCAACATGAACAACATCCAAGCCATACCTGCGCACAGGGAAGCCGTCAGGAGTCTCAGCTTCAGTCCAGACGATGCCAAGTTCGTCAGCGCTTCCGACGATTCCACCTTGAAGATTTGGGCCTTTGATGAGGCGAGGGAGGAGAAGACGCTCAAGGGTCACGGATGGGATGCCAAGTGCGTAGCGTGGCATCCATTCAAAGGTCTGCTCGTCAGCGGCGGCAAGGATAATCTGATCAAGTTTTGGGATCCAAGGAGCGCAAATTGCTTGGCAACGTTTCACGCGCACAAGTCTACGGTGCAGCAAGTAGCTTGGAGCAACTTTGAAGCCAACATGGTGGCTAGCGCGAGTACGGATCAGACGGTGAAGCTGTACGATGTTCGCATGATGAAAGAGTACGCTTCGTTCAAGGGTCACCTCAAAGAAGCTTGTTCCCTCGCCTGGCATCCCTCTCAGCGACATTTGCTGGTATCGGGAGGTGGAGATGGTTCGCTGCTTTATTGGAGCACCTTGTCCACCCACAATATTCCAGCTTCATCTTCTCAAGCCATCTACGCGCAGGAACAAGCGCACGATTCCAACATTTGGTCCATCGCTTGGCACCCCTTGGGTCAGATTTTGGCTACTGGCTCCAACGACCACACCACCAGGTTCTGGGAACGCTCTCGGCCGGAAGATGGAAGGCGAGAGGAGGCGCAGGGAGGAGCTGGCGATGCGAGTGCGAGTGCGAGTGCTGCTGGAGCAGACAAGAAGGAGATGATGAAGAGGAAGGCTAGAAGCGGTGGGGAAGATTGGGATGGTGAGGCGTTTCGAATGAGGCGTGCGGGCGAAAAGATTGATCAGGCTCCCACTTCGCTATGCTGATCATTTGTTCAACCCTGTCCTCCCTCTTTTCTTTTCTTTTGGCCTTGCTTGCAGACGATTTCATTCCCGGTCTTACCTCTGCTGCCAGAAGAGGAGGAGGAGGAGGAGGCGACGGTGGCGCGATGCACAACAACGCACCTCCATCGCACTTTTCTCAAAGTTTAGGTTTCAACCATCTTGCTGCGCGCTCGGACGAATCCTACAACGCTGGTGCTGCTGTTGGCGAACGATACGTGCCGCCTCCTCGAGAAGGTGGGGCGTCGGGCGGAGGAGGAGGTGCGGGTGGACACTCTTATGGTTATGCTTCTGGTGCGAGCGCGGGTGCAGGGGCATACGCTTCCGATGTGACGTATCCTCATCATCATCATCATCATCAACAACAGCTACAGCCCCTACCCGGATTCGCGCCTTCGAAGGTGTATGCAGGTTGGAACGACGCTACACTTCACGCAGCAGCAGCGGGAGCGGGAGCGGGAGGCTACGGGGCGCATGCGCAGGGATACGCGCAGACGCAGACGAAATCGTCTGCTGCTGCTGCTGCTGCTCCTGCTGCTCCTGCGCTGACCGGTGCTAATGCGGGCGTGATGCCGGGCAGCGGCTGGGGAGCTAGAGCTGCTGGAAATGGAAATGGAAATGCGTCAACGGGAGCGGGAGGGGGAGGTAGGCAATGGTGAGGTGAGGGCGGTGCAGTGAGGAAGAGAAGAGAAGCAATAGAAAGAATGCATGTTTCAACCCATGCGTACCATGCAAGCTTGCGCGAGTTGCCGCTCTGCTTGAGAGGCAGGTGAGCTAGAGGAAGGTGTATGAGATGGACTCGGATTCTTGTGTCGAGCGAGCGAGCGAGCGAGCGAGCGAGCATTCACGTTCACATTCAAATTCTAATTGTGAATTGCACGCATCGCATCGGATGTTATGATTCAGATTGCGATTGCGGCACGTAATTAACACGCGCGTAGGTACGACAAAGTTCGAATTTTGAATCTTGAATGTGAATCAAATCTGACATGCCCCGCGCGCGGGCGCGTCCACGTGACCCGTGCCAGCTCCCGCGCGCGGGCTGGGCTGTGTTCGGCATTTGAGAAATTTTGAGAAGGCGTGGAGTGTGAGTCAAGAGTTGAGTGGAGTCAAGTCACTCAGACTGATGGTGACTCGTGACTCACCACTGCCGTCGCCTGTCTGCTTCACCATCCATACACAGCCATACGCACACGCAAGAAGCAGACACACAGACAGACACACAGACACACAGACACACAGACACACAGACACACACACACACACATCATCGACAAAGCAAGCCCTGATACAAAACAGAATACAAGATCGCGCCAAGCATGTCACCTCACCCACAAGCCCATCTGGATCTCTTGCGCTTCCTCTCCGATTCCAACGCAACAGCGCGTCAAGTAGCTCTCTCCAATCTCGTAGCATTCTCATCCTCATCCTCATCCTCATCCTCATCCTCATCCTCATCCTCTTCTGGCCGCGTGAGCACATCGAGAAGTTTGCTGATCGATAAGCACAAGGGATTGGATGGCAGACCGCTTCGGGGAAGAGATGGCGGGGAGGTGGATACGATTAGGGATCTCAAGAGGTTGTGCGAGGATATTCCCGTGAGTGTTGAGTGTTGCACGTGCGGGTGCGGGTGCGACAGATTAGCCTGGACATGCAGTAGCCATCACGGCAACGCAAGCTTGCCCACGCTCACGCTCACGCTCACGCCCACGCCCA